TGTTAAACTTCCACACATATGCCTCCAGTCTCTATCAGCTTTATAAATGTTGATTTAGTAGTAAAAGCTTCGGAAGGGTCAAGAGACCAAACCACTTTATCCAGACCTCTTCCCAACCAAGTTGCATCTATTCTATCTTTTTTTTTTTTTTGATAGGAAACAAATTTCACTGATATCATGAAATATACAAAAAATGCCTATCCAATGAAGGTACAAAAAGCTTCTCCAGCTGGATATAAGGAATTTAAACTATATCTATCAAAAGGATTTACACTTCTGCACCAAGATAAAGCCAAAAAGATAATGGAGTCAATCAACTATTGGAGCGATTGATTGATATCCTTGAAGATTCTAGAATTCCTTTCTTTCCAAACAATCCAAATGTAAACCCTATTTATGTTCATCCATAGAATAGCCTTCTTTCTTGAAAGGATGCATCAAAAAAATTGTCTCAAACCGATCTGGAATTCTTTTTGGGAGGCACAGACTCCACCCAAAAGCTGTAAGGAAATGGGTCCATACAGATGCTGAAAGTGTACAGCTGATAAAGTTGTGCCCTTGTGATTCGGAGGCTGATTTACACAAAAAAACACCATGTTGAGGATAGGGACCACCTTGGCATCCATTCTATCAATTAGGCCAACCAACTACTCGTTTCCATATCAAAAAGACCTCTTCTAAAGCCAAGATCTGAATCTTTGATGGTTCTCATTCCAACAATTAGCTATTGTGGCGTGTTCCTTCATGGAAATATTGTAAATATCAGGAAGCATTGTCTCCAACTCATACGGACCTATCCACTAGTCCTTCCAAAATCTTATTCAGTGCCCATTTTTTTATAAGAAACAGAGAATTTCATTATCAAAAAGAGGATGAACAAAAGAGTGGGGAAGAGCAGACCCAACGCCAAAAGTTACAAAAAAGGTTTCCAATTGGCGTTTAGACTCATGAAACTATAATTACAAAACAATTTATCAATGAGGCACCAAGAAGAGACAAAAGTATGAACAACTTCCCAGGAATGGACTATGGAGTTTTCTTTCCCTTTGAAGATTCTTTGATTCCTCTCATACCAAATCCTCCAAGCTTTCACCTACTTTTTATGTGTTCAAATTTTTTTCCACATTCATCGGAAGGCTTCTAAGCTAGAATGAGTAAATTGGATTGAAATTGCTAAATTAGGTCCACAATATTGATTATTTAATGATAGTCTCTTTTTTTCAAACCCAAAGGAAAGAATGAGAGAATATAAAAGAAATCATGAACCAAAAAAGGCTGTAATTTCATTTTCAATTGATTTTATTTTGTTTGGTGCCCTCAAAGAACATAGAAGATGGGCTCATAGTGGTGCTAGCCAATCTATGGTTTAAAGGAAAAGGCAAAGTTCTTTGGTCAAACACTTGTTAGCTCTCTCGTGGCTTCTTTGGAAAGAGAGAAACTCTAGATGTTTCTAAGATAAGATTTATATTTAGACAACTTTTGTGATCGAATTCAATATACGGCCTCAAATTGAAGTGTCTTACACAATTTCTTTTGTTTTTTTTTTTGGAACAAGATACGAACTTCTCATTGATTAATGAAAAGAAACAAAAATTGTTCAAAGGATACAATCTCCGAAAGGGAGGGAAGAAAAGAGAAATCAAGAACCCAAAGAGGGAAACACAACCCTACAGAAGCAGAAAGATAAAAGACAAATAAGAACATTGAATAAAGGCTTTAGGAAAAACTGGATCTTCAAGCATGATAAACCTCCCACTTGCATGGACCAGTCTTCAGAAGACTTAATGAACTTTAACCTTAGTAACCACTTCAAAAACAACTTCAAGTTACAAGGTTATGCAACACTGAAACTTCAAACTCGTTCAGCTTCAAACTCCAAACTTCCTTCTAGAAAGAACTTATAAGCAAAAGGTCTTTACTTTGTCAAAATCATTCTAACTCCAAGATAAGAAAAGCTGATCAAGCAATAAGAGGAATTGAGCATCCTCTTCTAACAACAGCTCATCAAGATGCAAAACCGAAAGGCTCCACACAAACCATCAAGAATGAAAAGCAAAAGTTCTTCAAAAAACTTGCTGCAGAAGACACCCTTACAGTTTCAAAAGATAACTTCATTTGTTAAATAATCTTTAGAAGGGGGTGAAATTGTTTCTTGGGATGCTCTCATTTCTCAATAATTTGTACATTATTCTTCTCTTTCTCCCCTCACTCCCTTGGGGGTTTGTATCTTTGAACTACTTTGTATCTTTTCATAATTTCAATGAAAAGTCCGTATCTTGTTCAAAAAAAAAAAAAAGATAACTCCATTTGTTGGACAACATGGGAAAACCAAACGACCCCTGCTCAAAAACCCGACATCTAAACCTTTAGGCTGCCTTTAAGAGCTCCGAGAAACTCTTCAAACTATTCCCAACCGAACCAACTTGAAGAAGAAACTCCACGCTAAACCAACTTACCTTACTTCTTAAGCTTTTATCCACCTAACCCACTCTAATTCAAATCATATTGATTGGAACAAGGAAAATGCCAACTTCTTCAAAATATTGAAAAAAAAAATTGAGTATTAGCATCTGTTGCCTTTTCATCTAGCAACTGCAGTTGGCGGGAGTGCATAATCAAAGAATCCCCTTCCCTATAAAATCTTTTACAATTTCTTTTGTAATATCTCCTCTTCTTATCTCTTTAGCGGGAAGCCTTTTATTTAATACCTTCTATTTAGGCTTAGGGATCCCTCATCCCTCAGGCCTTTAGTTTGTTTCACTCTCTTTATTTTTTAATGTATCTTTCTTCGTTTCTTATTAATAGAAAAAAGAAAACAGAACTCTAAGACCACCAAGATCTCTTGAAAATGGGGGACTTCTCTCATTTTAGGGGAGGGCATTTGAGTCTTTGTAATGCAATTCTTTCTAGCCTAGGAAATTAGCTTCTTTTCAGGCTCCCCGGACAAAGGTATTTAGTCTCCCATAAGCTTTCACCTATCTCTCAGCTTGCCACAGAGGCAATGGAGAATTAGATATCATTTTCTTATTCAAAAACCAACTTTCATCAAGGAAAAAATACAAAAAGGCCAAAAAAACAACTACCCTACAAAAGAAACCAAGAACCTAAACTAACTATACAAAAAAGAAAAAAAAAATGGCTTCAATCCAAAATAACAAAGAACAATCCATCTTCTAAAGTGTTTCTTCTTCAAGACTGCAGATAGAAATTCTCAGTCCAATCTACAACAAGTTCTTAAAGATTACTTTCTTTCCTTTATTTGTTCTACTTGTGAGTTCTTATTCTCTAAGGGAGAGAGAGCTTCAATTCTTTATCATCTCTTGAGGTCTATTAACAGCTGAAACTTAGCTTCTAGATTTTGAAGAATATTCAATAGTTCTTCTTATCTAGGTTAACTCTAAATTTTCATTTTGTTTGGGAACAACTCTAATAGTCTTCTTCAACTTATATACAAAACTTTTTTTTTGGCAGTCATGCCAGAATCCTCTAGTCTAATACGGTGATAGCTCTTCTTTGGAGGATACGGGCTGAAAGGAATAAGAGGATTTTTCAAGGGGAAGACACGCCTACGAGAATTTGTGGGAGAGCCTAATTTCACTCGTCTACTTGGCGTTCCCTCTACAATGAGTTTTGTCATTACCGTTTCTCGCAAATTTACGCCAATTGAGAATCCTTTTTGTAATCCCCTTGGCTCTTTGGAGATACGTTTTTTGTACATCCTCCTTTGATTTTAATACATATCTCATTTCCAATCAAAAAAAAAAAAGAGTTGGGTTTGCCCCTTTACATCTTATTTCTTTGAATTGGAGACCCTACTTGTATAGTTAGCTTCGGACTCTGTTGGTGCGCTGCCTTTTTGTATACCCCTTGGCTTTGGGCTGCTTTCCCCCTTTTGTATGTGTTCTCTTTCATTTTTTCTCACTGAAAGCTTGGTTTCTTATCCCAAAATTAAAGGTAATAATAATAATAATAAATAAATTAAGTTACCCGCTCCTTAGTCAGTTTATGTTCTAGATTTAGAAGAATGCTTTGTGCTTGTAGGTTTTGAGATTTTGAAAGGCTTGCTGAGAAATAGTCATCTTGTGTTTGTTAGCTAGTAGTAATGCTAGGTTAGATTATGAGAAACAAGAGGATGTGAATAGTCTTACGAGGTTGTGAGCAATTTTGTGAAAACCTTATAAGTTTGTTCATAAATTAGATGAAACCAAACACCATTCCAGCTTGAAGGAGTCTGAGTGTGAGTAGCAGTTACACATCTTGACCAATAAGTTGAGATTCACAAAGAAAGCAAAAGACAACCGGGTTGCTAAATAAAAAGGAGATTTTTTTAAAACTTTGAAAGTAATCAAAGGCACAAAAACAACCTATTCAATTCTAAATTGTAAGCATGTAACATTACTATAACGTTATGCTTCCATATCTTTAGGGTCTAATAATAAATTGAAGCCACTTGAGAAGTATTGTAATATTACATCATCCCGGACCTCCTCCCACCAGACATTTCTTCACAACTTTCTGATCAATTATTCAGCAGGTAAGCAAAAGTAGTTAGAGGCTTTGCTTTAACATGACTGGCGAATTCTCAATGTCAGATAGGAACTTCAAATGCTCTACAGCTCTTTACCCTATATCCTAGCATGTAAAGTTCAAATCCTCCATTGTTCTAGCAGCAACAGTGTACTTCCCAAGTTCCTCATTCCATTCTCTATGCCGACCCCCAGACCCCAGTGGTAAAATCTTTTCAGATGTTTCATTTCACAACCCCATAAGTACCCGAATCCCAAATCTAATGCAACAATCCACCTGATATACCAAATAGTTCGAGAGCACTTGTACAGTTTTCAATAAAAAAAGCTATCGCATTTCCAGTTAATAATACTCGATGGAAAACAGAACTGATATTTCAGATTCCATAATTCCCAACGCCACCATGTTTCAGCTTTAACGCGCAAAGAGTTCAAATAATGTATGAGTACAAGAGCCAGAAACACAAGCCTTACACGAATTTCCCTCCTAATTTCAGAGAAGTCGTAGAATTTCTTCCCAGGTAGGTGCAAGAACTCCCCATACTCCTCGCCAGTCTTGGTCTGCAAGAGCTGAAGCACCAATGGCCGGCGCGTGCAGATTTCAGAACCCCTCGGCAGGAAGTCGCGGCCGACGAGAGCTTCCAGTACGCT